AAACAGCCAGGAACATATTATCGAACAAAATTGCAGAATGGAGAAGGACTAGACAGATGCTGAGGAGACATTCAAGTGAAATCAAATGTCTGGCTTTTGAGTAGAACTCGAACGGTGGGTTAGATGCATGTGGGTGACACTAAGGAGACTAGGTGGGTAGGAAATGAAAGCCTATGGACAGACGCGAAGCCAGTAGAAAATGTTGACAGAGAAACCAGTGAAATGGAAATGTGCCTCTGAAGAGCTATGTTTCACTTGGAATTCAAGGGATTAATAATAATAATAGTAATAATAATAATGTAGAAATTATTTGTACTTTCTACTTATTTAACAAACTGTTTGCCCTATTTAGGCAGTTAACCTGGGATTCTAGTGGGAAGCTGTGACCAGTAGGGTACAGCAGGTTGAAGATGAGGCAGTAACTCATCGAAGAAGACATTGCGAAATGGTTGCGCTATGTCGTGAATTGGCAGAAGTTAGAATTCAAGGACCATTGGATCGGATCCCAGTGGCTCAATGGTCTACCAGCCCACCTTACCAGAAGGTCCTGGGTTCGAAACCTGGTGGTGGGTGCGTACTGATGAAGAGCCCCAAACTAGGACGAAACAGCTGTTCAGTACTCCCAGAGGTTTTCCAGTGGTTCTCTAATTGATGTCAGCTCATGATGAAATCCTCCACGCAATCAAACAAAATCCCTACAAAACTAATACTTGAAAATGACTATTTCAATATACGAAAAAATCCCCATTTAGACATTTAGAAAACAGAAGGACTGAGTGAAGAAATATTTACTTTTCAATTAGATTTTCACCTCTGACTCCACTCTGTTATATATAGCATTTTTATCACACACAAAAATTCATCAATCGAATTGGGATTTGTTTGTTAACAATAATTAGTCAGTGTCAACATGTCAATGGGGTGATAATTAACAAAGAAAATTAATACACACAATTAAAAGGTAGAAATGGTTACAACACGTGGATTGCATAATGCATAATTTTGGAAAAATGAAGAGTAATTAAGGAATAAGCGTGTGCACAGGTTGATTACGTAACAGATTGTTAAAGAAAATAAAAACGATTTGGACAATGGTAACTTGTAACTAAGGCTGAAGTGGTCATAAGAATAAAATAATTTTGCAAGGATAACATGTAATTAAAGATGAAGTAGTCCGAAAAAAAATAATAAAATAATTTGGACAATTATAATTTTTATAATTTTTAAAGGTTTAGGGGGGGGGGAAGTAGTCTGGTTTATACATTCATGTAACGATGGCCAAGGTAAGGAAAGTGGCTGTACAAATTTCTTCTGAAAACACAGGTTTGGCTTCTTCAGGTGGATTCCTATTGCTTCAGCTGTATGTAGAAGACGAACTCGTAAAGCAAAATTAAGGTTAGTAGGAATGCGATAAATACTTTTAAATGCTGTATTAACGTCAACCTTATGCTCACTATCTACAAGATGTGCTACAATAGAGCTACGAATAGATCTTGTTTGTCCCTTGCTTAACCATGCTGGATGATGTTCGGAAATACGATGATGAACCTGCCTAATTGTACGCCCGATGTAGCTGGCTCCGCAGCTGCAGTCAAACTGGTAGATACACATAGAGGAGGCAAATTTAGGTAGTTTATCCTTATTTCTCGAACGTAGAATAGGGGTGGTTGTGAAGAGACAACGTACCTCTGCTGCATAATAAGCTCTTTTAACTGCATTATTTCGCTGATGTTGTCACTGAGGAACTGCAGTTTATGAACAGTGGTTTTTTTGGAACTGTTGACATACTGACTCTTCTAAGTGCTGAATTCATATTTTTCTCAAATAACTTATCTGGATAACCATTTTTTCTAAGTAATTCTCTAATCATCTTAAGCTCCTCATTGAGGCAGTCGTCTGAACAGGTTAACCTAGCTCTATGAACCAGACGTGTTGTAACCATTTCTACCTTTTATTTGTGTGTATTAATTTTCTTCGTTAATTATCCCCCCACTGACATGTTGATACTGACTAATTATTGTTAACAAACATATCCCCATTTGATTGGTAAACTGTTGTGTATTGTAATAAAAATGTTATATATATTAGAGTGGAGCTAGAGATGAGGATCTAATTGAAAAGTAAATATTTCTTCGCTCAATCCTTCTGTTTTCAAAATGACTATTATCATGAACATGTAACTTCTTCGATCTCCACTACAATTTATGGTTTTTGATTCACAAAACGTATTCGTGATTCAAATAAGAGAGTCACTTATCTTCTTCTAAGTATGGAAAATTTCCTATTTAACGAATAGTATAAGCAACAAATCTCCAGTGAAAATCATTCTCCTCTTTTCTTTCCTTTCACATATTACACTTCTCAACAACAGTTTAAAGCTAGTCCCAACTGTTTATTGATCTTATCTGTTTCCGGATATCGAGTTTTTGATGCTCCCGCCTAAATTCTGGTAAGCATACGCTTGAAAATAGATCAGTAGACACTTTTTTTGAAGACAATCTCTTCACTTATCGCTTATCAATCATTTTATTTTGTCATGGTTACCTTGAAAAACATAATGTAATTTAATAAAATAACTAGTGATTCATATAAGCATAATAATAGAAACTGTCATGATTATTCATGGATTTTAAATTGTACAGACCGTTTGCAAGGTAAATAAATGGGGAAGTGAATCTAATAGTAGTGTAAAGTAATTCATAGATTATGTATCTCAGTACAACATTCGATGTATTTATATATTTTTTTGCCTAAGAATTACTAGAATAGTCTGCATCAGTCCAACCTTTCGTGTACAACAGATGTAAAAAGTATCAACCGTTTTTTGTCAATGAAATGTAGACGTCACATTTAATTAACCTTTGTTGTGCTTAAAAAATTGTTTTTTGCTTCAGTAATGCAACCATTAAAAGATCAGTGTAAAGTCTGAACAACAATAAAATTACATCGTTAGGTGATATTTCTGCTCTGATATGGCGACTCATTAGCGTGTAGTTATACTCTACAACTTGGAAGGCAGCTGAAAGATATATATCACATGCCTAAACCTAAATTTAAAAGAAATGTACAAGTTCTATATATATATAAAAGGCTACTTGCAATCACCAGTAAATTTGAGATATTCAGACGAGTATTTACCCTAATGATTCCAGAGTTGTAAAATGTCTTTTAAACTATCTGTAATCTGAACTACAAACAGAATACAGCATTCCGTGTTGTTGTTACGTAATTGGTCATATTGTAACTGTAGAAGATAGAAGACTGAATAACAGACTTTTTTATGAAGGAAAAACAACGTATTTATACATTCTTAACTACATTATAGTTCGGCTAAGTCAAAGGGGAATTAACTGCCCTGATTGGTTGACAACTGGTCCAAGGTTAAACAAGTTGTCCAATGAGGTTATTCCAATAAAGCAAGAACAATAGTTTTTGTAGAATAAAATGGTTCCATCATTTATTTCGTTGGCTTCTCATCAGCTGCTTACAGGCCAAAGTCATTACTAAGTATATATACAGAAACAATTTTAACATACTTGCACAGAGTTCATTTTTAAACAAAAATCAATCAATATATGCATACAATAATATATATAATAATGATAAACACTTTATCCCGAACAATAATGACCATACACAATGGAAACTTTCGACATTACGTAATCAGATGAAAAAGACAGTGAAAATATCCAGTTACCTGGGCAAGGAAAGACTGATAACTGCTTCTTTCTGAACGCATAAATCAGGTTTCAGACGCTTGAAGGAGATGGCTTCAGCAAACTTGAAGAGAATTGAACTCTTTTGCCTACTGATAATTTTGAACGATCTTGCGATGTTCACCTCATGATCTGTGTTAAGGAGATGTCTGGCGGTGGCACTATTTAAAGCATTTGTTCCCTTTAGACATAGGCTTTTTGTCACATGTTCAGAAAATTGTAGGTATGCCCTTCTTTCTGTTCTTCCAATGTAACTGCTCCCGCAGATTCATGTAAATTTGTATATACAGTTGGAGTTAACATGAGAAGCATATCTCTCGATTTTTGATTGCACCAAAGAGCAAGTTGTTCGATAGACGGAAACCAGCTTAGCTGCAGGATAGGCTCTGCCTAGTGACGTCCTCAATCTTCTGTTGACAACTGCTGTAATATTTTCACCTTTATAATCAAGTTGAATGTAGATGGGCTTTTTTCCACTGTGATTTGCTTGACATTGAGACTTCAGATCTTCCGTACTTGTAAATGAATCTTTGAGGGTAACCATTGATTTTCAACATCTTTTCGAGAAACATAAATTCTTCCTCTAATTTCTCTGAAGAGCATAATCTCCTAGCTCTATAGTATAGAGTCTTGACTAGTGCTCGTTTATAGCTAGCTATTTGTACAAAAATTATTAAAATGTAGGTATTGTTCTTCCCATGTAGGCTTTCGGTAAATTGACTTCTAGAGACTACCATCTTCTAGACATTTCATGGCAATGTTATTTCATGTTCACAAGGTAAAATAAATCCAGATTTGAGGAACAAACACTCCTACCTCTGCAGTCGTCGACTTGGAATGTTGATTTCAATTTTGGCCGCTTCCTATCAATCCGTATCACTCCAAAATATCATTCCTAATTGCATTAAGCATTTGTAAAGTTGCATATTTTCTATAGTTGGTTTGTAAGGATTAGTTTTGTTTTTACGAGTTAATCACGGGTTGATATCAGTTAGAAAACCACTGGGGTTCGAACCCCAGTGGTCAACTCGTAAAAAAATGGATATGCTTTTAATTCAGATATTAAAATATTTTTAGGAATGATACATCGATACAGTAAATACATGTTACTTTCCTAATATTTCAACTTAAAAAGTGACCTTCCTAATCATCTATTTTTGTGTAGTTCACATTAATTGTTTTATTTTTTCAGGAATTATAACTTAATTAATGTTATCCCGTCTGAAATTAAGTGATTTCATCATTTTTTCTTTTTGAATTTGCGTATTTTACTACTCTATTCAGATCCCTTGCCTGGTCAGTTATTGCGTATGCAGACAGAAATTCAATTTCCATTCATAAAGTTGTACAGTGATAGACAATTGATGCTGAAAAATATTGTAGTAAGTCATATTATGATTGAAAGAATCGGAATAATTTGCTTAACATACTGATATTTTATATATTATATATATGTCCAAACCAAGTTCACTTTTAACAGTTTGAAAAAATTTGGGCATTGGGTATATGTTATCCATTACAATAAAGGCTTTTTGTATTTCCCAATGAATGAAAAACAAAACGATAGTGTTATTTTACTGACGTTTCGCTGTTTAATACTGCTAATAGCTTTATCAAAGTATTATTAAACCAGAATTTACAAAATCTCAGCTTATACAGATAACAACTTAATCATCGTTCTTCAGCACGGGGTAATTTTTGCGTGACATTAAATATGATCGGAAATGTATTCCGAGGAAATGGGCATCAACAGTTGTCATTCCATATTGAGCAGAGACGTCAGACGATATCAGAAGAGTACTCAATAAGCACAACATCAGAGTTTTCTTCAAAACATCAGACACACTGCAAAGCAATCTTGTCCATATAAAAGACCGAATCCTTAAAGATTCTCTATCTAATTGTGTCTATAAAATAAAATGCTTGGAATTTGATGCGATATACATCGGACAAACATCACTAGAGAGAAATCAAAATCAGAAGAAATGAACACCATAGAGCATCTGTTCGACCACCGAAGAATCCAGTTAGTGAACTAGAAAAGCTTGCAAAATCACCAGTCATTGCTTATCTACAACACGCTATAGAATCAGGCCACAAAATTCATTCTGACAACATTGAAATAATCCAGAAAAATTTCAGAAATCACAAGACGTCTAACATCAGAAGCACTTCATAGGAATGATGAACTAAAAAAGAATTTGACGTGGTTACAACACCCCACTCCCCGATGAAATGACAAAATCAACACGAATGTGTTAAGCAATTTCATTATGTAAACACATGCTGCTTATATAATTTTATACACTTATCAAATCCAACAATCTACACCTGATTTTGTTATCTTTACCAATTGGCCAAGTTGACAATGCGAAAATGATCCCATGCTGATGAACGACGATTAAGTTGTTCTGTATATAAGCTGAGATTTTGTAAATTCTGGTTTAATAATACTTTGATAAAGCTATTAGCATTAAGTAGCGAAACGTCAGTAAAAAAATATCGTTTTGTTTTTCATTCATTGGGAAATACAAAAAGCCTTTATTTTTATGAATATATGATATTTTATTCACAGTGTATTTTTTTTATTCACCCTAGTGACAAATTACACAGTTTTATTGTTTCTATGTTCAAGAGACAGGATATTTCAGTGTAGCTTAAGTCACAATAAAAAAGCAATTATTATTATCATCAACGAATGAATTATGCCTCTAAGTGAAACATCACTTCTAACTCTAACCTATTCCTAACCTGAATCCTCGTACATATCCATTATCCTAATCGTAAGTGGTGTCTTAACCGTAATCCTCTCCCTGGTCTTAGCGTGTTTTTTTTTGTAATACACGCTAATAATGGTTTTACAACGACATCAACTGTGACCAACAGTCTAAAGTGTACAGAACTTCTGTTACATTTCAGTATGACCGACTGACTATATTAACACATTATGTTGTTGTTTGTAGGCAAGGTTAATGTTGACTAGTTGTCATTGTCATATTTTAAAAGTTCAATAAAATTTGTCTGAAAAGTTTTTAAAAAAATGATAATCGATAAGACAATTTGTCATACAGTCAGTTGTGTATCTATTCTATAAGAGAGATGAAGACGAAAGCCTAGCAAATTTACATCAGTTTATCTATTGGCTATGCTTGTCTGTAAATAGGTAGGAAAAGATATTTATCATAAAATAACTTTTTTCTTTATCAAGAAAAGAAAGGAGATAAAATAAAAAAATTAAAGGATCATAATGAAATGTTTCGAATACTTTTAAACTGTAAAGTCTTCTTTATTTAAGTTTCATTCTTTACCGTTATTATTCCAGCTGATACGTCTTACGAAGATTACATAATCATAGAATAAATAAACACTAAGTTGATCTTTAAACCTTGTTAAAAGGAAATATGACACATATTTATGACTGAATGTTTATTAGTTAACAATAACACTCCCTCAGCTCGATCATGAATTGACTTTAGTTAGGCATTCATTGAAAATCAGGTAGTACTGGATAGCTGTTTCGTCCTTGCTTAGGACTCAGCAGCAAGCATCCACAACCCCACCACCACCAGGGATAGAACCTAGAACCTTCAGGTTACAAGGGGAGCTCGTTGACCATTCAGCCTTGGGACCTGATGCAACAGCTCATTATTTCTAACTTCTGCTAGTTATCGACATAGAGCGCGACCGCCAGCTAATGTCGTCGGTGCGTATTCTCCCTCAAACCCAACATGTTGGACCCTGCTGATCACTACTTCTAGAAGTTCAGGTAACCTCATCTTGCAGACAGGGACTAGCGAACACTAGATTAATCTTGAAGTGTTGGTTTGCAAGGATTTTCAGTTTATTCAAGCTGTATACTCTCCTTCAGTACACAGAAACGTTTATGTCATAGTAATATGTGATTTCTGATGTATAAATATCAATAGCTTACCTAAGATAGTAAATAAAAGGAACATTCATATGTATCTGTGACGTGCAAATTATTGAAAAATACAACTGAAAATATCCAGTGTAATTATTAAGTATTAAATTCGTGTGGAATTTCAAATTTAATTAACCCCCTAGAGTATAGTTCTACTTTGAATTGTAATGCTTATTTGTGGATTGAATTGAATTATCTTTTGTTCACTGGTCGATAAATCTAAACTATAGAGACCCAAATGGGTGGGCATGATAATAACCTTGACCAGCCAATCATATGAGCCCATAGTAAATATGTAGACTCATGGATACACTACACGAATTACGCTGCAGATTTCATCCAGAGCTAGTATTTCATCAATATTTGAATAATAGGCTCATAGGAAGGGTAAAACATGTGGATTTGGAAGAGTAATGCCTTTACAGCGATATGCAGCCACTGTGGGCCGGTAGGTGCACAGATGTCTAGATTGCCGTTGCAAAAAATCTGTTTGATAAGGTATGTCGAACATAGCAGAGAAAGGGTTACAAAAAGGCGTGATATACATTTATCTGGATGAATTTACATACGGAAATCGGTCTGGCCTTTCATTAAAGACTCCAGTGAGGAAATGCGATGGGGTTTCTTGGAACACATACAAAAAAGTTACTCTGTGTAACAATTTTCGACATCACATTAGATTTGAATAACGCGCTTTCATTTTGGCTTCATCTGATTGGTTGACAAAGATTCATCAAGGCTATTATGACGGTCATTGTTTGTGTAGCTATAGTTTAGACTTACCCACTGATCAACAACTGACAAACACTTCTCTGGACAGCTAGGATTAACATAATCTTTTCCAATTCTTTAAATCTACAATACCAAAACTTTAGAGTGGGTTTATGACATAGCCATTTAACAACGCTTATCAGAGAGTCGCTATGCCGAAGTAATGTCATAAATTATATATTATTTAGGTAATTAATCTAAAATTGTGAATTGAAGAAATTTTTATGTTATTTATTTCGATAGCTTTAGAGTTTATGCTAGTCTGTGACATTAAATGTTGCTTCGTTGTCATATCTAGACTTCAGGTATCAAAGTTAAATAAATGCATAAAATCGTGTTTTCATGATTTTATGCTAGTATATACGGCCTATCTCATCAGAAATGCTTCCTTTTCACTTGTATGTAAGTGGCGCATGTACAAACTAGGGCTATTTTGGGTGTGTCAAATCATTACTCACTTTTTATAAAATCTTGAAGACAGTCTTAACTATCTAAATTTATACGAGTGTGCTTTAACTGCTTATTATTTCTTATAAATAATATTACCATTTTTTTTTCCTTCACGCTCCCCAGTGGAACATAGGGCTTCAATCTAGTGGTTTGAAGTTCCTGTAGCAGTGTTTATTTTACAGGATGGGGTTGCTAGCCTCCTGCCCAACCTTTCCTCTTTACCAGAATTATTTCTGGCTTAGCGAGGTAAAGGAGTGCGTCTGTGGCCGGGGATCGAACCCCGGGCCATGTGCATGGTCAGCAAGCGTCCTAACCGCAATGCCACCGACGCACAGTATTACCATTAGAAATGATTAAACTCTTTTGATACCTTCAAAACTTCTTTTTTTCCCTTGAAAGTTGAACCATATTAAATCAAGTCATGTAAAAAATAACAATCTTAAGTGTATATTCCCATGAGTCTCGTAATTTCAATTGTTTCATTAACAAGACTCGTCTTCATCTGTTGTCTTTCTATGCACTATTTGATTAAAAATTGGCGAACGTCCGACAATGAGGTTGGATATCATTATATCAACGTCCCTAAAGCAAAAATAATACTGTTTTGTGTGTCCTCCTCATGAGAATCGATACAAGTAACATTTACGATAAAATTACGATGAAAAGTAACAGAAGTGGACAAACATTTATCAGTTTTGATTGAGTTGTCTTTACTTACGCCTTGCAGGTTTAAAATGTAACTAGGATTTAGTTCTGTGTTTGGATACATTCATGAAACATAATTGATTCCTTTCATTTACGTATTGACTAATTCATCAATCATAAACAGGCATGACACGTTCACGGTTTAGTTTCTGATAATTTTAAAAAAGTGGACAGAAATTTTCCGAATTTGTTTTTAAAAGAAATTATATCCAGAAGAAAAATTGATGTTGATAAATGCTTTTTAACCACAGATAAATGGTTAATTCTTACCAACAGGTAATATAGTTTATAAATTATGAAACTGCTTGCAACGTCAGCTACTTTCACCCTCTCGTTGGAAATCTAAGGTCTTCTGTCTTTGTTTAGCCTCACGAAAGGAACAATCTACAGGTTAGATGATCAGAAGAATGGTGACGGTTTCAAAAACTGCGTCATCACTTTAAATTTTCAGAATACACCTACGAAACCAATAGAGAATATAGACTTTCTGCACACAACTACCCTTCAATCAATTCGCCCTCTGCTGAAATTAAAAAGATGTACAAAAATACAAGTTGGTGCATACTACTGGTCGATCTGAGTAGCTGCTAATCCCTTTTCACAATAAAAAGTAGTCCTTTGCGGCCAGGTCATAGTGACTTAAACACTAGAGGGCTATTTCGGCCGTTTGGAGCCAAATTAATAATCAATATACTTTGATATAACTCAACTCAAAGAGCTGACACGCCTGAAACCACGCGAAATCTGGTTAGCCACTTTGAAAAATCGGATCAAAGTCATCACCTGTATATTGTACAGTTTGAAGTGTAGGAAAAGCATTATGCTTTGTTTTTAAAACTGCTAACAACCTGGTCACAACATGTAATCTACTTTGCATCATAAGCGACATCAAGCGAGTAAAGATTTGCAAAAGAAACCTCTGTGGAATTTTACCCCAATGTTATGTGAAGCCACAAAATACGAAGGCTTCATCTAACTAAATGTAAGGTAAATAATCACCGAAAATACCCATTGAGTCATGAAGAAAATAAAAGACAGATTCAGCGAAGAAAATTTTCTTTATCGACGAAATCATCTTCAGAGGCTGTACAGTCGTATTTATACTTACAAAAATATATAGTGGTCTATTATTGAGTAATAGGGGGTGACATAATTGATATAATTACTCAGAAGTGGCTTTAGAAGTGAAAATTAGAAGTTGAAAATTACGTGGTACTCAACGGCACAAAGATAGAAATTTGATAAGGTTAAAATTGCTATTAAGTGAGAATAAAGGTATTTGAGCGTCAATTTAACAAGTGTGAAGAGGGTGTGAAAATTTACAAAAGAGGCATATGAGAGTGATAATACTGAATTAATTATTAAAGCAAAAGAAAACTAAAAGTGAAATTAGAATGAAAAGAAAAAATCAAAATATATTTTATTTACAAGGAACGATTAGTGAAGAGGTTAAGACCAAGGTAGAATAAGAGACTGGACAAACGTTTTCTGTATAAAGGGTTCAGGGTTGTATTGATGAATTGCCAGAGCCTCCGCCATACACAAAAGCCGAAACCTGACGCCCTTTGTACCATTTGGCTTCACTTTGTAGACGATCTTGAAAGACGATTCTGGTGGGGCTACGTGGCCTGAGTTCACCAAATGCTCGAGAATTGAACTAGTAATTGTCTTACATTGTCCCATTGCTAACCATGCCGGATAATGTCCAGAGATGCGTTTGGAAAGCTTGCGCTTTGTCCGGCCAATATAACTAGCTCCACACGTAAGGTAAATATTCAAATACTAGGATACGATTGCTATTATTAGTTCGTGTTTAAGTGAATGTGATCAGAAATGTTGACGATATTGCGGTTTTTCTTTAACTTTTCAATCATATATGGGCTCGAGAGAATTCTGGAGGTCAGGGACTTACTTGAGAATTCATTTGGTATAAACCAATAAAATCAGCCGATATGAGACTGGCACTCTATGATATATGTCATTCAGAACCATATATTCTCATACATCACCTTTTATAATTACACTCTTGAGGTTTTATATACCCAATTAATTGTGAATCTTATAAAAGTGTTTCTTCTAAAGTTCAATTGGCCGCACCATCTGACTAAACCTTTCAAATTTGTCGGAAGAAGAGGAAGAAGAACTGTGTAAGATGGCATTAACACAGCATTCGGAAACTGCTATGCCAATAGAGTCAATCGCTTTCTAAAAGTCAATTTTATTTCCAAGGCAAAGGCCACAGTTATATTGACACACAAGCAAAATATCACATGAGTTAAACACTTTGTAAAAATACAAAAAATTTTTCTTTTTCATGTATATTTCAATAAATGAGTTTATCTGAAGAAAAAAAACAACAATTAATTTGAAGAAATTGACTGCATAGATTAAATTCTAGATAAAATTATATATATTAATGATCCTGATATTCATTCACATGAACTATTCCAAGGGGGTAATTAATCTTTTACCCCTTTTATTTTTTGTTTGATTATTTTTTCTTTGACATTAGCCAATCTACTAATGATTCTAAACCCAATTAAATTTGGCGCCTTATGCCTATCAGTTATAATTAAACAAGATCTTTATATATTTTCTAAGGTTTACAGCCTAACTGAAAAGCTAAAAGTTGGTTATTCTTAGCGGGTTTTCTAGTGGAACGAAGAATTTCAGTTGGAGATATTTCAGCATTAACAATAACCATAGGAAAAGAAATTACCATCAATGATTAGAATAAATGATGCTAAATGATGTTTATTTTCAAGTTTATTCCGAAAAAATGTAATTAACACAAATTAAAAGTAATTTATGTAACTGTTAGAATATTTTTTTCTAAGTATTTACAAGTATGAGAAAAAAGTACACGAAAAAAGATGATAAGAGTAAAATACAGAAAGATGTGATTGCATAAACGTTTACTAACATTACCGATAACTTTTTTTTCGAATGAATTTCATTCCTGTAAGTTTTCTGAGAAATGCAAATGTTAAGAGTTTTGTAGATTTTATCTAATTTAATTCCTTTCAGTTCCCAGTGGAACATAGGGCTTCCAGATAGAGCTTTGAAGTTTCGGTATCAGTGGAGTTTACTTTTACGGGATGGGGTTGCTAGCTTCATGCCTAACCTTCCCTCTTTACCAGTCTTATTACTGGCTTAGCCAGGTAAGAGAGTGCGTCTGTGGTCGGGAATCGAACCCCGAACCACCTGAGTGGTTAGCAAGAGTTCTGCCGCTGCGCCACCAACTCACAAGAGTTTTGTCGAAGAGGTATGAAATTTTGTCAGTTTTTGTTAACTACTCTATGAAAAGAACTGGTCATCTTTGTAAATATACTTTGTATTTAGAAGTGATGGAGAAGACCTATAACTCAGGTGATTGATATCGGTGTAGATGTGCTGTCTATGCTGTCTGCTTTATTCACGAAGTTTTCATTGCCTTCGTAGATAAAATATTCAGCTCTGACTTCAATATGATTAATCTTGGATAAACACTGTTGTTTGACAGTTTTTTGGTAAGTGTTCTTTCCAGCTAGAGAAAGTTGACGTGTGTATTGAGACTGTCCTGTCTAAATTGGGGATTCAAATGTTTCACTGATTGTACATGGCATCTAAATGTCAATGAATGACAACAAAGCATGAACATTTTATATGAGGATTATATTTTCTATAGTTTGGTTTGTAAAGGTTCGTTATGTTTTTACGAGTTAATTACGGACTGATATCAGTTAGAGAACCATTGAAAACCAGGGAGTACTGGACAGCTGCTGTTTCATCCTAGTTTTGGAATCATCGGCAGTACGCACCCACATGGGGTTCAAACCCAGGACCTTCCGGTTACAAGATAAGAAGTTAGAATTCATGAGCCATTGAATCGGGTCCCAGTGGCTGAATGTTATACGAGCTTGCCTTGTAACCGGAAGGTCCTGGGTTCGAACCCCCACGTGGTGGGTGCGTACTGCCGATGGTTCCAAAACTAGGATGAAACAGCAGCTGTCCAGTACTCCCTGGTTTTCAATGGTTCTCTAACTGATATCAGTCCGTGGTCAAATCGTAAAAGTAAGGATTATAGTTCACTGCACTAACGCAGTGGTGTTAACCAATAATAATCTCTTAATTACATTGCACAACTGATTGCTAAGTTTCATGGTAGTCATATTGGCTATCACTTACTGAACAACTTAAGCATTTAGATATTCTTGATTTATTACTGGATGTGTCTGATCACATACTATTATTTGTAACATTTAATTATTTTATTACTAAATCGGTTTTTAATAAAAGATGAATAGCAAATGGTGCATTGCTGTATTTCTCTGCCCTCTTAATAATATTTACTCACTAAGAGGAAATTTTATCTAGAAGAGTTAAAAGGGCAGTTTTTCAGAATTCACAACGAAAAAGATCTGGAAAAACAGTATGAAGTAGTGATGTGCTACGTGCCATCATCGAAGAGAATGTTGGGGAGAATTTCCACATGAATTTCATCGGCTTTGAAAAAGCCTTCGACAGCAATGACCGTGAAGTAATTTGGAAACTACTTCAACACTATGAAGTGACCCAAATCTTTATTAATCTCATTCAACAGCCATATGACACAGACATGTGTCAGTTGATCCACAACGGAAACTCAGAGAAGTGGATGGTGGAGTAAGACAAGGCCGCCTGCTATCACTGATGATATTCCTAATTGTGGTGGACTGGATTATGAGTCAGACTGTGGGGAGTGAGAAGACAGCAATACGTTGGATTGACAAGGAGACTCTAGAAGGTCTGGACTCTGTGGTTGACATTTGTCTAGTGTCACATACACTCGAAGACTTATAGGCAAAAATCATCAAGTTGGTGTCAGAAGCAACGGAGACAGGACTTCAAATGAATATGAGTTACCTAAGCGATAACAAGCACCAATCACTATCAACGAGAGAAATCTGGATGAGGTCACTTCTTTCACTTATATGGGCAATACCGTTCCAACTACAGGAGTTATGGATGGTGATGTCAAAGCTAGGATCAAAAAGGCAAGACAGATCTGTATTAATTTTAAACCAGTAAAGAAATCTGCTGTATTCAGCATAAGGATTCAGATTAGGATTTTCAACACTATTTTAGTATCAGTGCTCCTTAATGGTTCACAGACCTGGCGTGCGTGTCGCAGAAAACATTTTCAGCATTCTACTTCAGACTTCTATCAACAGCTGCCTTCGCTGGCTCCATACTGAAGATCAGATGACTGGCCAGAAAGAATTAACACCAAGAAACTCTGGGAACCAACCAACCAAGAGCCGATTGCTCAACAAATATGCCGAGGAAAAGGGAGATGGATCGGCCAAACGCCTGGGAAACCGCCTAGTGACATTGCGTGGTAGGCCCTCTAGTAGAACTCAAATGGGAAATGACCAGCTTTAGCTTGGGGCTGAGGGTGACATGTAGGAGATAGCGTGAGGAGGAGATAAAAGCCAATGGGTAATCGTCACGGCAGCTAAAGATGACTGCAGAAAACCGGATGAATTGAATATGTGCTGTTGAAGTCTCATGTTCCACTCGGAACCTAGGGGAATAAAAATAATACTGATAATAAGTGATATGTCGGAGAGCAATAACAAAAAATCCAAGTTAAATGAAATCTTAGTTAGAATTGAAATTGTTGAGGATTTCCACAAACTCCATGAGTATTATCAATTTATTCTTTGTGTCATGAATTATGTGAAAAACATCATTTCATAGTGGCAATTATAATTTTGTCAATTGCATTTACAACCACATGTTAATAAAGTTGTTGTAAGATAGTAATACATATGCTTATTATCACATAATAGAAGAGAGGAGGATGGTGAAAGAGAAGATGACTCAATGCAGAGATGCACAACAGAAGGAGAAGCTGAGTTCAATGTACACTGCACTGAATAAAGAAAGAAGTGAAGAATGCTAGGAAAGACAAAAGACAATTCTACGACACACTGGCGGGTAACTGAAGCACAACAGCCGGGTTGCAGGCAAAAGAGAACTAAGGAAATTATATCAGATAACCAGGTCTCCATTCTGGAAGAGATCAACCCAGATGATGAAACCAATAAAAGATATTCAAGGGAACCTGATTAACAAGGAGAAGAAACAAATAAAACAATGGGCTGATCACTTTAAAGGACTCTTCAATTGACCATCACCTGCAACTCTCCCAGAAATGCACCACCACCAACAGTACGCGCTGAACTGCCTGCCAGTGGATACCAATCCTCCAACGAAAGCTGAAATTCTGAATGCGATCAAGCTACTGAACACCGGCCGGGAAGGCAGCAGAACTAGATGGAATTCCCCCCGAAGCACTGAAAACGGACTCAGAGACTGCGGCAGATGTGCTCACGCCATGTGCGTCGGTGGCACAGCGGTTAGGACTCTAGCCGACCATGCACATTGCCCAAGGTTCGATCCCTTGCCGACGCACATCTCATATCAATGGCAGGCCTGCAAAATTTAGGCGGTCGATATTACATGATGAAAATTCCATACTTGTACCAAAAATACTGTGTGGAATCAAGCTATAATCAAAAATAAAATAGAAATTTTCTCAAAAGGGTTGGGAGGGGAAAGTGCCTACTGATGGAAGAAAGGCTGGCTACCTTGTCAAGCTACCAAAGAAAGGCAACTTAGGCCTGTGCAAGAACTGGCGTAGACAGGATTGGTCATTAGTATGTACTTTTGTTTTTTATTTAACTGAGTAATTGTCATGAACTTTATTTTATTATTGTTAACCATGTTAGTTGTAAAGCGGTTGTAAAGAAACTACGAAATGATATCATCTCGCGAAATTTGTCTTTTAAATGCCTTATTCAAATTTATCAAAGGGACTAATTGTTTTAGTAGACAGGAGCATTATTCCACGCCTAACCAAAATAAAAATGTGTAAAAGCAGTTCATTCTTTCTAAATGTTTAATGATGACAAATGACTATTTGTTGAGTGCAAAAATGTATTGTCAAGTTTGAAACGAATTGTCTTTTTTCAATAGGCTACTAAAGACGACCCTTCTAAATTATCAACAGTTTTAGATAAATAATAATTAAAACAAATAACTATTGATTTCAGAAAACATGATAATCTCTTTTGTCAGTTGCTTCTTCCTAAAATACTTTTATAAAGTAACAAAATAATATCTGTAACTTTGGGCTATGTTAGTCGTTATACTCGGCATTTATTTTCACTGTCCATTCCCGTTCCCTTAATACACCAATCCTTGCTACACACACACACTGTCGGTAATTATCAAAGTGAAAGCAAAATCTTATTTGTCAATGAGTCAGTCATGTACGAAAATATCTTCAAACAAACAATTATTGTCATCATTAATATTGTAATAGATTCTGTTTGTTTATTTATTTATTTTTTTTAAAAATTTTCTCATGATATGCAAAATAAATGTCTAGGAAATGCTGCATGAATAATGTTCAGACGACCAGGGAAAATTGGAACATTTGACCAACTTCAGTTAGGTATGGTTCACATCAGATATTTCTGAAAAAAGGTTATATTATGGATATGCATTTCTGTTATTGAAACATTCGGTATTCTAAATTATTTACTGAATATTTATTTGATCTGTGACCTTGACAGAACACTGTATTCACACCTAACTACCACCCCCCCCTCCAACCTTACTGCCTAGTTTCTTTATAATAATGCAGGATATTTTCTGAATACTTTGATTTTTATGTACATAAATGACTAACTTTAAAAAAAACACACACAATTTAATATGACAAAAATAAGCAAATATAAAGGTGAATCTACAGTGTCTATAATTAATGTAAACTGTGAGACTGTGGACATGATATGCTTTGGCAAATGACTTACATTGCGAACATGAATGCTGTACAAATTCGCATCATGATATGACT